AAATTTTAATTAATAATTAATAAAATCTATTATATTTCACATATAATAATTTTAAAAAATAATAACCAAACGCCAAAATATACAATTATAACACGATAGAGTTCAACTACAACCACAGTTTCAAACACAATGTTGGATGGATTTCCAAAAGAAAACAAGTTCAAAGGTGGAGTTGCACATGCTTTTAGTTCAGTGGTGAATTTCAAACAGTTCAGCAAGTTCAGGGGTTGATTTCCAGTTTTTTTTTTTGCCTAAATCATATATACTAACTTACCAACAAAAAAGGTTCTGCATCAAGATGTTTTCAATAACAAAAAAGTTTCAAACAAAAATTTACACATGCGTGGAGAAAACAGGGGTGGACAGTTCAGTTGTAAAAAGAACTACTTGCAAACAAACCTGAAGAAGAGGGCACAGGTACGATGGGAGAAGGTGGAGAAGAAGGACAAGGATTAAGTTTATTATTTTGAAAACTGCAAAAATGGAATACAGCAGTTATGAAGCAAAATTCTTGAGACTGTAAAACTATTGGAACAAAAATTGTGAAAAGAAGGTTAGGAACAAAAATTGTGAAAATTGGGTTAGGAACATGTAATTGCACCAAACCCGACGTCCTTCTTCAGTCTGCGCTTGTATTCCGAAGTAACCTGCAAAGCCCCGAGGTGGAATTCGGGGTAGACACTCCGATGCTTAAGTCAGCAATAATCGGGGCTACCTTTAGGGCAGAGATAAAAAGAGCTTAGGGTTGGTTTCAATTACCTTTTTGACGTGGCCCGGGGGGGTATTTATAGGATCCAATGAGGAACCCACGTGGCATGCCAAGCAAGATAATCGGAGCCTGACGTGTCTATCCAAACGATTATTCCGGGACTGGGAATTTGAGAGGTATTCAAGTGCACGAGCGTCCACCATAACTGCTGTGCCACTCATCATGAGAAATCAAGTGCGGGCATGCTTATTGTTGTTATCATACAGGTATTTGAGCGGGAAGCTTTGGATTCATTCCTCACTTCAGTCATAAAGGGATTACTGTAGCAGTCCGAGTCTTGGCACCTCGGACCTGTCCTTACACTATTCCCCCCCCGAAGTCATTCACTTGGGAATGATGTTGTTGGGGATAATGAGGACAGTGTAAGAACAAAGAGGATACGGATACATCATAAAAAGAAGAAATAGAATTTGTAATTTGAATGCATACATAGTCATGTGCGATAAGAAGAAAGTGTGACCAGAGCGATAGTGGCCGTAGCTATGGTAAAAATAATGATCGGAGTTAACGTGGCTGAAGCCATAATAAGAGATGATAACCGAAGTCGTGGTGGCCGGAGCCACAATAAAAAATGATAACTGAAGTCATAATGTAACCAGATCTGTGATAAAAAACGATGACCGGAGTCATAGAGGTTAGGGCGGTGATAAAATATGATGACCGGAGTCATAATGGCCAGAGCCGTAATAAAATATGATGACCGGAGTCATAATAAGATATAATGACCGGAGTCATAATAAGATATAATGACCGGAGTCATAGTGATCGAAGTCGTAGTGGCCGGAGCCGTGATAAAATATGATGACTGAAGTCATGATGGCCAGAGCCGAGGTGACATGTAGTTACAGTAACTAGAACCGAAGTGAAATATGTGTCTCTGTGGCCGGAGCCGAAGTAAAACACTATGTCAGTTTAAAAGTGTAATTGTACAGGTAAACAGAAGTGCTGAGTGAAGCTTAAATATAAAAATGGGAATCAAAATGGC